GCGCGTGGAGGCCACGCGCAGAGACTGGTCGGGAGCCGGAAACTTTTCACGAGCCAAAACCTTCACCTTGAAACTCTGATACCAATTGTTGCGGAAGCTCTCTCAAAAGGATCTTCAAACGGTGGTTTTTCAGGCTCAGTCCAACGTACCTTTCTCTACCAACAACCAATCCAAACGGCTCCAAACCACAACCAATTGATTCACCTTAGTTGCTATTCAATCTTACCCACGTAGGACAAGAAAGGATGATAATTTATCGTCACAAAGGCTAAGAGAAGACACCACAAAGATATACTATAAAAGAACCACCAATTGCACACGTTATACCAACGTTTTGGACACTTCTGGACACCTTTTTTCTCACACAAAAGGGGGCAGTCGGGATTCTCTTGTTTCTTCTCTCAAAATCACACAATCATCATATCAGAGTGGCTAGGGTTATAGCCAAATATATACTCTAGTGTTAGGCTTTAAGTTAGGCCATTAAAAGGGTAAACGGGCCAAGATTCAAGCCATCCATAAGGAATACAATCGGGTCGGGTGTAGCTCATGGACTTGGTTGTTGGACTTATTTCATTCATCGGCCTATGCCTATGAAATATTATTAACCCACGTTAACATCATAACCCGAGATTTATTGGGTATCAAAAACCCAACACAAGGAACAATCAATTAAAATAATCATGCTTATGGAAGGTTGGGCACCAGCAATGTGAAAGAAACATCGGGTTATATTTTTCTTTTAAGGATGAAGATGATAGTTACAACTTGACCTCCAAGTATATGAACAAATCAATTTTCTCACACACTCATGCATGGTCGAACTTATGGGCATAGTATGAATAGGCCAAAAAATAAAAATTGAGGATGGATTTAACCACCTTCAAAGGTCGTTTACATATCGAGACTTTATCGGTTGGATTAAAATTGTCAAGAATTTCTTTGATTATTGAAAGTTTTCGTTTACCTCCCAATTAAACTTGTCGCATACAAGTTAAAATGAGAAAAGTTGACATTAAAGATACAATTTCAAAGGATAATGATGTTTACAATGTATATCAAGAGATGAATATTTCTTCAATATTCAATGTGATAGAGAATCTTGATTATTTTCTCCTGATTAATTATTATTTTTCTTCTTCAACCAAACTCAATGACGAATTTTTTCAATGGGAGAATGATGTAAAACAATCATATTATAAATATCCGTTACTATTACTAATACTTTTTTTTTTTTTTTTTTTTAAAATGACTTTTTTTCCTTTTTTTTCTTTTTTTTTTTTTAAATTTTTTTTTTTTTTTTTTTTGTAAAATGACTTTATTTCCTTTTTTTCCTTTTCTTATTTAGAATATGATTTCTTCTTCTTCTTGATTAAAATAAAATTTCTTTTTTTTCTTTTGAATTAGAATTTTGTTTCTTTTTAGGATTTTTAATTTTCTTTTCTTTTAGGATTTTAGTTTACTTTCCTTGTATTTGTAATATTAAGAAATTATTTTATCTATATAAACAAAGACTTTGTACAATTTTTAATTATACTACTAATTACAATCAAATTATTCTTTATATATTTTTGTGTTTTCAACTTTTTTTCTTATTTTTAGAATTTCAATTTGCACCATGCTATTCATCTTATCACGTTAGATCAACTGAAAGAGTTAAAGCGACTATAATGTGAACAATGGACTCAAAAAATGTCATTTGTAATTAAATTATTAGGAAACTATTGTCAGGAAATCATTTGTGCTTTCAGTAGCATTGACAACCAAAAACTCAAGTCTTTTCTTTCTAAACAAACAAAAAGCTTACTGATCTCTTGGGAAATCAGCCCATTAAATTGAAACACTAAAGAGAGCAAATGGGCACTACGGCCAAATAACAGCAGCACAAAAGAATAAGTATTGCCAGCAGGGGCGGATCCAGCACCTGGCGAGTCAGACGGCCAGCCATGCTGGATCCATCGAGAAGAAAGGTTAATGAAAAATGTTTATATATATATATATATATATATATATATATATATATATATATATTGGGTGCCGGGTGGTATCATTTTGTTATAGTCAGAAGCCAGTTGCTTGTAAGATAACTTGTAGTATAGTACCTGCAACAAAGGTGGGGGCGAACATCCGATCACTGCTGGCAACGCTTACATGCTTAATTTTGTTGAATGAGATGGTGTCCAGAGCAGGTGGACGGGCAATGCTTTTCAGTGCAATTAAACATGGATTCGAATCCTTCTAAGAGCACTATGCCTTTAAATTTTTAAAACTGTAAATAATGACTAATATTAATTAATAATTGTACTAAGACTCAGTAAAAGGGAGTAAAGCTCATGTGGCAGAACATCACTCTTTACATGGGAGAGATATGGGGATCAACTCCATGTACTCCCACTTTTTTGTTTAAATTTTTAATATAATAAATAATGACTAAACAATTATATATTATTAATTTTCATTTTCAAAATAATTTCTTTAAAAACTTATTGACTCAAATTATTACTTCATAATTTATATACTTTTATTGTTAGGTTTCATCAATTTATTTTATAAAATTTAAATTTGGACAATTTATGATTGTTTTTTATTCTTTTAAGAGTTCAAAAAACATTTTTTTCTTTTGATATTAAAAATTATTCTAATTCTAAAAATCATTACTTTCAAAATTTTGCATAACATTCACCTAAGCTCAAAGCTTGTCTTTACCGTTTAATCATACTTTATGTATAAATTTCATCTTATCTCGCTTAAGTTCGTAAAGATTTTAAAACTTGATCATACATATATGATTGTGAAATGTATTTTTTTCTCATTGTTTTGGGTTGTATTGGATTATATTATTAAATGTATGTGACTTTTACATTTTAGTGTATTTATACATTGATAGAAATTTTTTAATATTATTTAATTAATTATTAATAAACAATTTTACTAATGCAACCGTTAAAGGTTAGCGGCCGCCCTAGCTGACTCAATATCCTAGATCCGCCACTAATTGCCAGAATCTTCTTTTACAGCCACAACCTTGTCTTCATGAGCTTGGTTCAATGGAAATCCTCAAACTCACGAGATCATTAACAAATAATAGAAACCAGTGAGTATCAAGTTTATCGTTCCCATGAGAAATAATGTCTAATATATAATTTAATAACTTTTATTAAGTTAAAAGTAATATAACATGAAAATAGATGATTTGCATATTTTTTATATTAATCCTAAACTAAGAAAGCAAATAAACTATTTATTAATATGTGAATATTTGTATTGAAATCGTGAATCCTTCGTTGCTATTTAATTCAATTCTTAATTCGTAATCTAATAAATTCATATATTCAAAACAATTGATAATTTACTTTTATTCAATATTTTGTTCCAAAATATATTAAACCTCTGTATAATGTGATACGATCATATTCTTAGTTCGAATTCATATGAAAAATATACATCGATTCACAAGATTTATCACACATAGTTTTGCACATGTCATAGATATTATTCATAATACCTATTGTACATGTATTATTTTGTCGCATTCTAAACTTATTGTGTGTATTCTTATACTACAACAAACAATTTACTATCTAATTGGTGATCAAGTAATTAAATAGCTCTTGTTTGATTTTTATTCTTCTAAAAAATCATTTTTTTGAAAATTTATTTTTAACTACACATTCTTTAATAAAATAATATTACACGCAAATTCGAAAATCTTCTTTAATTTTTAACCAAACATTATCTATCAATCCACTATTCAAAATGCATTATTTCCTCCAAAATGGGGATTAAACAAGGGTTCATCATTCATTCAATACAAAGAAAAATGTAGCTAACCATTCTTAATATTAAGCCCTTGTTGGTCATCATTTAACAAATTAAATTGTTTGCTACAGTAACATTCTTCATCACACATTTATATAATAAAATATTCTACACACAAACTAATAAAGTTTCTTTAAATTTTAACCACATATTCTCTAAAAAATACTATTCAAAACTTTATAATTTCTCCCATAATGAGAGATAAACGTGCTCTAAATTAAACAACAAAAAATTTAAAAAAGGCAAAGAAATCCATTTCTTGAATTAAATCTTGATTTTGGATGGATAATTTTCAAGAATCTTGCACAATTCCCTTAATGATGATGATCTAGTCTCGTTCTTCGCCCAAAGTATATTGAATCTATGAATTTTTAGGTCTAAGGAGGTCTCTCTATGTTTCGGACGAATTATCGTATTTAAAGAATGCCCAAAAGATTATTATCGAAGTAAAGTTTCAATTGGAAAAGAAAACAAAATCCCCCATTGGAAAAAGTACTATGTTGTCGCATATTTACAAATGGAAACGGCTGCATAAAAGAAATCATAGCTGGTCTCATGAGCTCTAGATGAATACATGCAATCACATCTAATTAAAGCTATGCGGCCGCATATGTATAACTTTTTCCAATCTGACAACCTTCAATATTTTGGTAATATCTTTCTCTTCCGATATCCGATTGAATTAGTTCAAAGTGCGTTGGAAAGCTAACTCAAAGGGCTACAATTACTACATATCCAATTCAAACGTTTGCTATTTCAAAAATGGATCTCAAATTAAAATTAAAAATTCAAAACATAACTTTTTCGTCTCTACTTTGACTATATTTCATTCCTTTGACTGCTTTTCTCATCCAATTGACTCCTAACACTCTCGAATCTTCATCATGAATTTCGATACAACTTTTAAATATTTACATTTTAGTCCCCAAACTTTTGATTTGTTTCATTTTAATCATTTTTCTTGTAATCTTGTTCTTTTATCTTCCAATTGTATCCAATGAAATCTTGGGCATCTTTAATCTTCATTTTTTCGCTCATCTCATTTATGAATTGTTTTGCAATTTAGTCCCCGAATTTTGAATTTTGCCCTTTTTTGACTATTTTCACATTCTTCTCTCAATTTCTTTATCAAAAATCGAGTTTTACCTACAAAACGTAATATAACACAAGTTAAGTTGTATTTCATCCAAAAAACAATAAAATATCATCTTTTAGGATCTTAAATAAGTGGAGAAACTACATTTATCGAGCTCTCTATGTGCTGCAGTTTATATGATTCTTGTTCTCAGTTGTACTTAGTACCCTATTGATTGGCGCTTTTCAATTTGAACATCCAACCAGGAAATTCGGATTCCAAGAACAAACACGATGGAGTTGCTTTGTAGAATACCAAAGGGGCTTGCTGCACCCATCGTGACTGGCTTCACCCATCGTAAATTCATATTTTTGGAGGATGGAGTTGCTTTGTAGAATGCCAATGGGAATTGCTTCACCCTTCGTCTCATCTATAGGAACAATTTATATTTTTCGAGGATTAATTGCAGAAAACAAAAAGTGCTGCATCAATAACTATACTCCAGCGGAAATGTGTTGAAACGTGAAACTAAATGGGTGAGGCTGCATGTAAATCAAGGTAACAGATTAACGTGGATCAAAAATCAGCTGTACGTCAACCATCAAAGAAGTAATAGACCACATATTTGCAATACCAAAAAAATACACATAATTTAGATCCTGAAACCTAATGGAGAAATGAAGTCACATAATTTAACATGTTATGGAAAGCTCCTGAACCTAGCAAATGCTGTTTATCATATATGACAATCAATAACATTTAAATGTCAGCACTAACGCGACTTTACCTCGTTATTGAAAATTGTTGCATATGAACCAGAACTGATATCTTTAACTGCAATTTTAGCAGTTTTTGCTTCGACAACAGAAGATATATCGGGAAATATATGTAAAATGCATTGAAATGTGCATATGCACAGATCATGGTGTGAAACATATACATAGAAACAGGAGGGCAGTAGTGATGTCGCAGTGTGTCAAACAGCCAGAGAGAGCTCCCTGCCAAATATGGCGATTGATATATAAATATACTAAAAACAATAAAGTAAAAATTGGAAACATACAGCAGATCTTCTGTGTGCAACTGTGCATTGAATGGGAAGTCGAGGGGTACTCTATTAAATTAATAAAAATAGCTTACAAAATACAAAATTACGATGCATGTGTGATAGGACGTTTATTAGTCCCATAGGTAACCAATACTCCAATAGATGAAGGCATGAAAGAGGACTTAAAACTAAAAGAAGAAAAAAATATCCCAGAAAGTGGGCCCAACTATAGTGATATCTATTTTTCTTTGTAATATACACCTGAAGCTATACCAAGTACACTAGCAAGTTTAAACTTCGAGTCTAATGATTATTGCCAAGTTTGCAGTTCAGTATACAAACTGGTGGGAAAACCAATTAAGTAAGAAGTAGAGAGATTAGTCGTTAAATGACGAATAGTAAAGAAGTGGACAAGGAGTATCCAGGAGAAGCTTCAGGCCCAGACGACTTTGGGATAGTGAAGAAAGTCCCAGAGGCATTTTTTCCTTTCTAAACAGAGGTTTCAAATGCTTTGTCGCTAGCTATTTATCTGAGCAATTGACTATTGAGTAACATCGACTTGAACAGCATGGATTTGGTAACAAAAAGGATTAGCAGCTTCAATTTATTTTACTTTTTTTTTAAGAAGAAAATGATCGTGTTGGTGAATCACTTGGGATGACTTGTTTTCCTTTTCTTTACATCCCTTCCTATCCCCTCTATTTTCGTTAGTTCTTTTTTGAGTGCCTTCTCACTTTCTAATCACCATTGACACTCTTACTTGCACAAGAAGAACGACTGCATAAAGTTAAACAAAAAAGGGCATGTGGGTTGCACATGGCACTCATTTGCATCCGTGCAAGAAAACAATAATCTCAAATGGTCTTACCCACTAAATATTTACATTAAAGACTGGTGAAGATTTTCCTTTATAGTTTATTGCTTGCCCCTTGCAATTTTGTTATTTTAACTTTAATCAATCCAGAAAGATGTTTTCTTATAATACCACAATCTGTTGTCCATGTTGCATCTTTTAAGCTCACAATACTTAAATAACACAAAAGTGAAAATTGGAACTTACTTATGGCATTAGTTTCTTTGGGATCACTTTCCTCGTTGTTAAAAGTGGAAATTACACAATTCCATACTTTAAAAATTCATAATTCTAAAATAAGATGGGTAGTTTAACATTTCAAAAATCAGACATTTTATTTTAATTAATATTTTTACTAAATATATATATTCCATCACACACAAACCCTAATTAATTTCCAATACTCTATCTCTACATTTCTCTCTCGTGTCACTCTCTCTCTCTCCGCCTCCCCTGAAGAAAACGCAAGTGGATGTGGTGCGTTGCTTGCCTGGTGGTGGTGGCGAATCTGGCTGTGGTGGATGTGGTGTGGCGGTCTAGCAGTGGTGTTTTCATGGTGCGGCAGTGTATAGCGATGTGTGGCGGTGGCAGATCTGGCGGTGGTGGATGTGGCGTGGCGGTCTGACGGTGGTGTTTTCATGGTGTGGCGGTGATGGATGTGGCGTGGCAGTCTGATGGTGGGGTTTTCATGGTGTGGAGGTGGGTGTGTGGCGATGCTGTCGTAGGAGTGTGTGTGTGGTGTGGCAATGGCAGTGTGTGGCGGTGGCGTGGAAGAAGAAGGAGAAGGTGGTGAACAAAATCATAATGAATATGAAGTTTCTCTGAGCTGGTTTCATCCATGAAAATGACGCAGAATCCACCAGATTGGCATAGCATATGAGTATTTGAAATTGACGTTGATGATGATCTTTTTCACAAACAATTTATCTAGAAAATGAAGTTGCCAGCTCTCTGGGTGAGGATTTGGGCACAGGAAGAAATGTGGATGGCGTCTTCTGCGTTCCATGTCGTGCTGCTTTGGAGACATGGGGTAGGGGTGTATGTAATCATTAAATTGGTTAACCTGTAACCAATAATAGACAATATGTGACCAATAAAAAAGATAATTTGTGACAAAAAATAATGTGTGACCTAAAAATTTGTTAGTCTGTGTCCGGTAATTTGATAATTTGTGACTATATAATAAATTGTGACTTATAATATTTGTGATTTGTGACACAACTCAACTCTATTGAAATGTGATCGTAAAATTAATCTGTGACCTGTAAAATTTTTGATTCGTGATCGAAAAATAATATGTGACCTATAAAAATTGTGTTTGTGACTTATAATTTATTGAGTTGTGACTGAAAAATTAATCTGTGACCTGTAAAATTTTTGATTCGTGATCGAAAAATAATATGTGACCTATAAAAATTGTGTTTGTGACTTATAATTTATTGAGTTGTGACTGAAAAATTAATCTGTGACCTGTAAAATTTTTGATTCGTGATCGAAAAATAATACGTGACCTATAAAATTTGTGTTTGTGACTTATAATTTATTGAGTTGTGATCAAAAAATTAATCTGACCTATAAAATTTTTGATTCGTGATCGAAAAATAATACGTGACCTATAAAATTTGTGTTTGTAACTTATAATTTATTGACTTGTGATCGAAAAATTAATCTGTAACCTTTAAAATTTTTGATTCGTCATCGAAAAATAATATGTGACTTATAAAATTTGTGTTTGTGACCGAAAAATAAGTTGTGACCAATAATATGATAAGTCGTGACTAAAAATTAATTCGTGACTAATTATTTTTGGATTTGTGACCAATAAACAAACTGTGACTTACAAAATTTTTGAAATGTGATCGTAAAAAAATTTGTGACATAAAATTTTTGATTTGTAACCAAAAAATAATAAGTAACTAATTATATTGTTAATTTGTGATCAAATTGTATAGATCTGTGACCTAAATATATTTAATTAATAAAATAATTATTTAACTAATTAAATTATAAATAATATTTAATAAAAATCTGATTTTAGAAATTTGAAACTTGTCTTCTTGTTTTTGAAATGTGCCATAATTAATTTCTTAGTTATGAAATTTTCCCTTGTTAAAATGATCGAAGCCTTTTTTTTGTCTGACAAATTGATGAGGTCATCTCTTTATTATTTTGGGTTTTGTTATTTTGGACTAGTAAATTGGGTTTGTATTTGGGCCTGACCCAAGCCCACAACTTTACCTACAAGTGGGGTGTATTGGATGTGAGAGAAAACAGACGATGATTGGAAATTAACTGGACTTGTTGCCCATGGTTTTCTTCTCCTCCTCTCTGGTATTCTTCTTCCCTTGCGTCTGCTGCTTCTTCCTCTTTCTTCCCAGTTTTCTCCTCCTTCCTCTACTTCTTTCATGTTATTGCTTCTTTATCTCAACTAATTCTACATCAAAGTGGTATCAAAGCTAAACTTGGTTCGAACATCTTCAACTCAAAATTTGAGTCACAGAATTGCCATGGCAGCGAAGAAGAATTTTACTGTTCTGCGATTCAACACCATCAATCTCTAGCCCATACAATAACCGACGGAGCTCTGTATACGCCATATACACAAACTACCCTACCATAATAACCACCAAGCTGCAACCATTGCTGCAAATCCGTCCTTATGCACCACATTCGAAAAGGTTACACTTTTCGTTCCACCAGTCATCTACAAATCAACTCTAAATCAGCAAAGCCTCCTCACTCGCGACAGCAACCAGAAATTGATCAAACTCACCTGAAATTACAGCAACCAGAAATTGACCCATCGCCTTTCTGAACTCGGGCCTCTTGCGATAACACCCACCCACAACCGCCTCCTCCACTCGTGACCACCATGGACGCGACCGCCGATCTCCCTCACAATGCCGTCGCCCATCATACTTGCCCGCAATTTCCATTGCCACAGCCCTCATTTTTCCTCCCGTAAGTCTCTGCCTCTGATTTCATTAGGCTTTGGTGGTAGTTTGGATAGTGTATTAATATTGGGCCATGTGTTAAATGGGTAGTGTATGATTTGTGCCTCAACTTAAACCCCTGTTTCGTTCATTTCATTTATGTAAGAATTATTTTTTTTAATTTAAAAAAAATAGAGAGAGAGAGAGAGAGAGAAGAAAGAAAAGTGAAAAAAAAAACGTATTTTTTATTATTTGCAGGTACCTCCTTTTTATTCGAGTTAATTTAGCACAGCTACTTCAACGGAAGAACGGCAAGTTACTGTTTTTATTTATCTTTGGTTTATATTACTGTTTCATTTTAAAATTGCATCAATTTTTTGTGTGCTGCTATTGTTCCAGTTTTTAATTAAACTCACGTAATTTGATCCATAAACTTTGTTAAATTCCACTTTTACCTCACTTATTTTATATGATTAGATTTTGACTAGTATTTGACCCTTGCTTTGCTATTTTACATATAACAGTAGTATTAGTTTGCCATATTTGGATTTATTTAATCCCAAAATTTTAAATTAAAAAAATGGGGCTCAAGTTGTTATTTTTCATTATTTGCACTTATTGTTCATTGATCTCTCTATTGCACGTTATTTAGCTGCTAATACAGTGCATGCATAGTGGTCGACTGGTCTCTAATCATTTCTAGTTTCAATTCCTAAACATGGACCCTTCACAATTTGATGCACTCATCCGACAAATAGCGACTATCCAAACCCAGATGATTGCTACTCTTGAAGAGAGTAAGGCCCTCTCTACTAATTTGAACAATTTTAAGCAAATCCCCCATTCGATCGACATTGATAATTCTAAAGTATCCCATAATAGACATTATCGTCATCGACGAGATCGAAAATATTTTCGATACGATGTAGTGATAGGGATCAAGTTCTTGGGCAAGAACGAGCCTATGACCGTTACGGTACTCATTCTCTTCTTCATCATAAGGAAAGTTTCTTGTGAGACATTAAATTAGACACTCCTACTTTTGATGGTTGCTTAGATTTTGAAGTTTTTACTCAATGGACTGCTCTTAAATAAGGAAATAAGTTAGTGACTGAGTATATTACTCAATTTGAGGAATTTTGAATGAAATGTCATGTCATTGAGGATGAGATCCTGACTCTAAGTAGGTTTATACAAGATCTAAGAGATGAATTTAGGCGTAAACTTTTCCTTCGAGGCGTCACTACTCTTAATCACGTTTACACTTTTGCTCGAGATTATGAGTTATTTATTAGTATTCCATATGAAACGCGCGATCATCATGATTCACCCATCTCGTTAGCGCCACTTCATTATAAGTCTATCATAAAGCCTTCCCCGTCTAATGTTTCTCCCATTTGGAAAATAAGTGTAAAGGTCATGCTATTTCTAGGCCTTCTTTTTCATATAGACAGTGTATTAACAATCGTCCTTTTTGTTTAATCGGTGCCACTTCTTCCCATTAAGTCACTTGTAGGACTTCCCTCGTTTGATGTTCTTCCCATCAAGGAAAATAATAACAAAGGTCTCGAAATTCCAATTTCTTCTTCTCACTTGCAGTGCTTCAATTGTAAGGACTTTGGCCACATTTCTTCTAAATGTTCTAACCGATCCATAGTCATTGAAGCACGGAAGAATGTAATAGATGAACCATTAGCAGATCTAGTTTATGAACCTAAACGTAAAGATTCTAACGACTTGGATGATGAGGACAGATCCTTAGGTGGTATCCGGACTCTTTGAAGAATCTAGAAATTATACCCCTTCTTCCTGATACCTCTTGGTCAAGTATTGTATGTAGTATCCTTAATCAACCCAAAGGTATTGATAAGTTGCATAATCATGTCATATTCGGGGAAAATCTTGGGAATTGGGATTTGATCCTCCCACATGTTGAAATTGCATATCTCAATTCTGTGAATCGATCTCTAAGTTTGAGTCCCTTTGGAGTTAGTCGTGATTATAAACCTAGGTCATCTTTAGACATTATTCTCATGTCCCCACATGCTAGTGTGTCAATGTCAAATGAGGCAGTTGTACCACATCTGCATGACTTGCATATTGAGATCAATAAAATTGTAGAAAGTAATGCATCATATAGACTTCGAGTTAATTTGCATAAAAGACATTTTAAATTTAATATTAGGGATTATATTATATTGTAAGCCAGTAATGCTGGTCTTTTTAAAATTTCAAAGCATATTGGTCCAAATGCATATGTCAATGATCTTTCATCACATTATGACCACCATCATATTTTAATTGTTAAGGACTTCGTTGCTTACAAAAGCTATTTTAACCCTTTCGATGATCCTTTTCTATTTTCAACTGGGAGCTCCACACTGAATCTTATGTTAATTCAAATACCACTTGTCACGGCACACAATGATAAAATTGATGTTATTTTAGATGAACATATTGTGTTGACCAATGATGGAGAGATTCAGTGCTTCCTTGCTCGTTAGGTGGATCAACTTGATGCTGACTGTACATGGAGTCCTAGAGAGAAACTCTTGCAGTTTGATCCAGATTTATTGGAGCTTTATTAGGGTCAGCAAAATTTTCTTTTGACCAAGTTTCATTGGTTACATCATATACTAGGGTATAATTTGCAACTGACATTGTCATCATTCATTGAGTTTTGATATTTGGTTTGTCAGAAAGATCGTCCCCCTTCGCTTATTTTGGAACATTTTGGATATTAAATCGACTACAGCTTTTGTGTTTTGTCCACTCAACAGAGTCAAGTTTTCCTCTCAACCCGGGAGAGTTGATGATGACATCTTTTTATTATTTTTGGGTTTTATTATTTTGGACTAGTAAATTAGGTTTGTATTTAGGCCTGACCCAAGCCCACAACTTTATCTACAAGTGGGGTGTATTGGATGTGAGAGAAAACATACGATGACTGGAAATTAACTGGCCTTGCTGCCCACGGTTTTCTTCTCCTTCTCTCTGGTGTTCTTCTTCCCTTGCGTCTGCTGCTTCTTCCTCTTTCTTCCTTGTTTTCTCCTCCTTTCTCTACTTCTTTCCTGTTATTGCTTCTTTGTCTCAACTAATTCTACATCACAAATTGCTGGCTTGTGTTTTTCTTCTCCGGAAGCCTCTTCAGTAGCTTCATGACCCCATTCCTTCACGCCATTTGTAATATATTATCGAACACAATAGTCAACCCATTAAAGGAATGAGAAAATCATCCAAACATTGAAAACACCCTCTACCATTCTTTCAAGGGACTGACTTCTTAAGCATAACCGAGCATGTACTCACTAAGATTAAACTTCAAAGTCACTCATGAAGACTGTTATAAGTTTTTCTTTCTCCCTTTTTGTGGGTTTCAAGATTCTCATTCTAAAATCATTCTAGATAGTAAAGTAATTGTGTTGACAATAAATATTAGATAAGACATGATCATCTTCAGGGTTGAAGCCAAGATTACAAAGGGCATATTTATTTTGCACACCTGTATCCATTGTCTAGAGCAACTATGATAACCATGACATAGAAATTATGCAACAATTCACAAAATCATTTCTCTCAATTAAAGGTACTGACTATCGATAAAAATATTGAAGGTTAAAAGTCTGAGATATAAATGATTAACTACATGGAGGAATATAAAAGATCATAAATTTCATCACTATTCCCTCAAGAAAGCTTAAACTGAAACATCTACCATTAAAATATCTCAAAAACAAAACGGTAGGTTGACAAAAACAATACTCAAACATTATTTGGGGCATTCTAGATGGAAAAGAGTTCATATAATGACGGATGATGCAATGAACTTAGCAAAAAAAATTATGAATGAAACCCCCCATAATGATATATAATTGTACAAGTATGTTATTTTCTATAAGTGGTTGCTCCAGGTTGTAGGAAAAATGATATAAACACAAGTAGATTATTTTCTCTAAATGGACAAACAACAAAAGGGAAATCACTTCTAGCACCACCTGGCTGAATAATTTTCTGGACCTCCTTTGAGGCCCATTCATCTTACGTCCTAATAGAATGGACATTCCAGACAGGTTACATACCAACAGATGATTTACTCAGACAAGATGTGTTGATCAAAAACTATTATAGTAGATTCCTGTGAGCACTCTCTGTCATATGCAGTTTGTTGTCACCTAGACACACAGACCTCTGTAATTTGTACCCCTTTAATTGATGAATATTCCATTTTATGCTATCATCCACAACATATCTCCCCAAAGTTCAGCCATAAATGCTATCAGATGTCATCAAGAACTTTTTGGACTTCCCATACCTTCCCATCAATCACGCTTTGATGGGAAGGAAAGATATCATTGTCAATCCGAATTATCTTTGCATTATCTTCCCAATAGGAAACAATCATAGAAACTTTCTTAGTTCCTGCATAAATGATGAGCTGAAAGGGAAGGATAAATGAGTTAAATAAAATGAGGTTTCTCCTCACAACTTGCATAAAATTGATGAAATGATTTGTCACGATATGAAAATGAATAAAATCTTCATAGCAATGCACGATTCTTTACTAATATGTATAAGATATAGACTGTAATGGCAAAACAAAAGATGGTTGTCTTCTCACCTGGTGCACCAAACAGCTTACTGAAGGATGTCTGCAGAAGGTTGTGAACTAAAGCAACAGCTAATGCACCGAAAGGAGGAACACAAAGTGCAAGTCTACTCAATTTCTTACAAAAAGCAGCTGCCAAGTATGCTGGAAGAAGTGGTGATTTCAAGCATGAATCCAGAAGCTGTAAATCACATAATGCAGTTAGAGACATGATAACACTACCCTAGACTCTTTAAATTAACCCTTATTTGCAAAATAGAAAGGATGTTATGTGTAAAAGTTTATGGAAAAAAATATATTTTTCCTTGTTCACATAGAAGAAGACAATACATATATATACAACGTTAGATATCTATATTAGGAAACTGTATAAATTAGGGATTTCTATAATTACCCTATAATTAGACCCATAACACTCCCCCCTAAGTTGGAGCATAGATATTAATCATACCCAACTTGTTACAAAAATAATCAACTTTGATCCCAATTAGAGCTTTTGTGAAAATATCTCCCAGTTGTTCTCTAGTCTTCACATATCCTATAGATATTAAATTCTGCTGCACCTTCTCACGAACGAAATGACAGTCAATCTCAATATGCTTAGTTCGCTCATAGGACACAGGGTTTGAAGCAATATGAAGAGCAGCTTGATTGTCACACCACAACTTTGCTGGTACTGAAGCCTTAAGACCAACTTCATTTAAGAGCTAATATATCCATATTATCTCACACACGGACTATGTCATAGCTCTATATTCTGATTCTGCACTAAATTGGGATGCAACATTTTGCTTCTTACTTTTCCATAAGACAAGATTTCCTCCAACAAAAACTCAGTAACCAGTAGTGGATCTTCGATCAATCTTGCAACTTGCCCAATCTGCATCTGAGAAGCATTCGATGTGGGTATGTCATAATTTCTGTACAGTATTCCACGTCCAAGAGCTCCCTTTAAATAACACAGGATTTGTTCTAAAGCTGTCCAATGGTGAACTCCTGGGGAAGACATGAATTGACTTACAATACTGATCGAATACGCAATATCAAGACGAGTTACTGTAAGGTAGTTCAATTTTCCAACTAGTCTTCTATAAGTCTCAGGATTTTCAAATAAATCACCATCTTTAATAAGCTGCAAATGGGGAAGCACTGGAGCACTGCTTGGCTTAGCTCCCAACTTTTGTGTCTCAGTTAACAAGTCAAGTACATTTTTCTTGAGATAAGAAGATGCCTTTCTTGTTTCTTGTAACCTCAATTCCCAAGAAATACTTCAACACTCCTAAATCCTTTGTGTAAAATTGGGCGTGAAGAAAGGACTTCAGAGATTTAATTCCCACAGTATAACTGCCAATAATAACAATATCATCAACATATACAACAAGAAGAATAATGCCAGATTCAGACTGTTTATAGAAGATTGAATGATCAGACTTGCTCTTTTGCATTCCAAAGTTTTCCACTGCCTGGCTAAATTTTCCAAACCAAGCACGTGAACTTTATTTTAAACCATATAAGGATTTTCAAAGATGACACACTTTCCCATACTCCCCCTAAGCAACAAACTCAGAAGGTTGCTCCATATATACTTATTCATGGAGATCACCATGTAAGAAGGCATTTTTTATGTTCAACTGATGTAAAGGCCAATCATGAGCGGCTACCATAGAAATGAATAAGCGAACAGACGTTAAATTAGCAACTGTAGAGAAGGTGTTAGAATAATCCACACCATAAGTCTGAGTATAACCTTTAGCAACAAGAGGGGCTTTAAGTCTAACCACTGACCCATCAAGATTGACTTTGACTGCAAATACCCACTTATATCCAATAGGCTTTTTTCTGCAGGTAAATCTACTAAATCCCAAGTACCATTAGCATCCAAAGCATTCATCTCCGCGATCATAGCTTCACGCCAACCAGGATTGGATAAGGCTTTATGAACAATTTTCGGAAGAGTCACAGAATCAAGGGAAGCAACAAAAACAAGAAAACGAAGACAAGTGATCATAAGACACAAAAGATGAAATAGGATAAGTGCACTAACGTTTACCTTTGCCGAGAGCAATAGTTAGATCAAGATCATTGGACACTGGATCCAATGCCGAAGAAGAGGTAGGTGCTGAACATGCATCAGAAGTGTCTCGTCGTCCGGAATACACATGCGAATAGGCAGTGGTGGTAGTGGTGTGGGAGCAGTAAGTAAAGTAAAAATAGTTGAACGGTAAGTGACATGATAAACCAATAGATCATCCTCCTCCCCCTTACTGAAAGAAGAATAAGAAGTAGGAAAGAAAGAAATATGTTCCAGAAAAGTAACATCAGCTAACACAAGATATTTGTTAAGACTCGGACAATAGCAACGATACCCTTTTTGTAGACGAGAGTAACCCAGAAAAATACATTTTAAGGATTTGGGATCTAATTTAGTTAGTTGGGGACGAACATCACGAGCATAACATGTACTACCAAATATCCTAGGTTCAATAGGAAATAGCGGTTTAATAGGAAAAAAGGACACTGTAAGGAGTCGTACCATTAAGAACGGATGAGGGCATTTAATTAATTAAGAAACGGGTTGTGGACACTGCATCAACCCAAAATTGTTTAGGAACATGCATTTGGAACAGGAGTGCCCTGGCTGTCTCAAGAAGATGTCTATTTTTTCTTTCAGCCACACCATTCTGAAAGGGGGTGTCAATACACGAGGATTGATGAAGAACACCATTCTGAAGCATGTAAGTTTGAAAAGAATCGGAAAAATATTCTTTGGCATTATCACTTCTCAATGTTTGTATAGAAACATTTAACTGAGTTCTAATTTCAATACAAAAGGCACTAAAATGAGAATAATTCAGAACAATTCTTCATTAAATAAAGTTAAGTCACACGAGAACAATCATCAACAATGGTAACAATACCGAAATCCAGTTTTGGACACGACAGGACAAGGACCCCAAACATCTAAATGAACTAATTCAAAAGGAAAACTAGATCTTTTATTGACTCGAGGAACTGATGACAAATGATGATGTTTTGCAAATTAACACGACTCACAATCTAAATACGACACATTCTAAAATTGAGGAGATAATTTCTTCAACAAAGATAAAGATGGATGTCCCAACCAACAATGTGCTTCAAAAGGAGTTAAGATGCCTGAACACGCAATAGACTTGGGCACCTAGGTATCCAAAATATAAAGACTGCCTGATTCATGTCCTTTATCAATAATCTCCTTCGTCATAAGATTCTGAAAAAGACACTGATCAGGAAAAAATGAGACACAACAATTTAAAGTCCGAGTAAGCTTGCTCACAGATATTAAGTTAAAAGGAAATTGTGGTAGACTTAAGACCGACGATAAAGAAATTAATGGAGTTGAATTAATAGAGCCAGAACCGAGAACAGAAGAAGTAGAACAATCAGTTAAAGTAACATTGGAACGAGATGTATGCGACTGAAAAGTGGAGAAGAGATTAAGATTACCTGTCATATGATCTGTGGCACCGGAATCAATGACCCATTTTGAAGAAGATGAGAGAAGACATGTATTAGATTTAGCTGTCTCAGCAATGGCAAAAAAAGGATGAAATGAATTTTTCAATGCTTCTTGGTAATGAGTGAATTTGGCAAATTCATCTACAGAAACTGTAATGGTCTGCCCAAAGGACGAGATGGGTGTAGCAGTAGTAGCTGCAACATAGGCTGAGTGAGACTTCTGAGATTTATTTTGCAGTTTTCGGCACGAGTATTTGGTATGACCCGACTCATAACAGTAGTAGCATACAACTCCCCCTTCATTCTAACTTCGATTGAGCCGACTACCTGCACCCCCGCCTCTTATATTACTTCTACTATTGCGATTGATGAGAGCACTAAAGGTTAAGTAGGTGAAGCAACATGAGCATTAGTATCTGTGCGAAGTACTCTAGTAAAGGTTTTTTGCAGCGATGAAATCTCGACACTGGAAAGAACCTGGGATTTAGCAGTTTTGAACTGAGAACTAAGACCAGCTAGAAAACTCATCACAACCATTTGCTCCCGCCGAGCTTGTTGAACTTTCACATCAGGACTAAAAGGTAACAAAACATTCAGTTCTTCGTAGGTCTTTTTGAAAGTCATAAAATAAGCCTGAAGATATTGATCTTACTGTTCGCTACGGTAAAAACTCTTACAAATTTCATAAATATGTGACATATTCCCATTCCCAGAGTACAGAAATTTCAAATATTCCATCAATTCTTTAATATACTCGCAGTGATTAATCAAACTATCTCAATGTCAATGGAATTACGAATTTCTAAGAATAAGCGGGCATCATCTCGTAGCCATGTATGATTATTATCCTTTGGTGGATCTTCAGTAAGATGATTGTACATAGAAATACTTTGCAGATAAATCCTAACTATCTTACACCAATCTAAATAATTTGGACCAACCAACTTATGTTCCGTAATTTTGGACATCACTGGAATGACATTAGTCACAGCAAAATTCTTTTGCTTGGCCATAGGAATAAAACACGATCTCCAAATATCAAAGTAAAATCTAACAAATAACAGTCCAAAATCAATAGACTTAAAATTCTAATTAAATGACCCAAATAATTTAGTCCAATAGTCAGCACAATAATAGCCCAATAACAATAACCAAAATATTAATCAAATTCCCTAAGCCCAACAACAAAAGCCCAAGAGAAGATCAATCCAAAACCCTGAGCCCAAAAATTATATCAACTGACACAAAAGACATGTCTTCACTGGAATAACCAATGCCCAAATAATTAACACCACAAATTAAAAACATTATAAGGCCCATAAGAAAGGCCAACATATGCTAAAACCTATAATCAAACCTCAGCACAAAAGGAAAACTGAAAAGAAAGACAATATTTTTCTTGTATATTATGAGCTATACATCGTCCCTTTTATAGTACAAAGAAGGGAAAAATAAAAGGAAAGAAAAATTGCTACCAAATCTAAAGATTACAATAATCAATCAATCAATTAATTACTACTCTTAACTATGGAAATAAATAATTCCTAAACCCATTTCTAAAATTATGTGATTTCATCACTCTCCCTCAAGTTGGATCATAAATATTTATCATATCCAACTTGAAAATGAAATCATCAAATTTCTATCTTGCTAGTCCCTTGGTGAAGATATCTGCAATTTGTTCTTGCGTAGGAACATAGGTCATGCAAATGGTTCCTTCTTCAACTTTTTCCTTTATAAAGTGTCTGTCTACCTCTACATGTTTTGTTCGATCATGTTGAACTGGATTAAGAGAGATGTTAATAGCTGCTTTGTTGTCACAGTAAAGTTTGATTGATGGCTTTATTGTGACATATAGTTCTTCTAGAAGCTTCTTTAACCATAGTCATTCACATATTCCTTGCGCAACTGCTCTGAATTCAACTTCAACACTACTTCTGGCAATTACGTTTTGTTTCTTGCTCCTCCAGGTTACCAGATTTCCCCATACAAATGTACAGTAACCTGTAGTAGATCTCCTATCATCTGTTGATCCAGCCCAATCTGCGTCTGCGAAAACTTCCACTCCTTTTCTTTCATCCTTTTTGAAGAATAGCCCCCTTCCTGAGGAGCCCTTGAGATATCTAAGTATCTTATAGACAGCTTCTGAGTGACTTGCCTTTGGAGAGTGCATGTGCTGACTTACCAAACTCACCGCAAATGCTATGTCAGGCCCGGTGTGTGATAGGTAAATCAGTTTTCCAACCAATCTTTGATATCTGTCTATTTCTACAGGATTTCCTTCGTTGCCATTTTTTCTTCCGATATCTATGGGCGTATTACTTGGTTTACATCCTAGCATGTCAGTTTCAGTTAGAAGATTGAGAACATATTTCCGTTGTGATACACTAATGCCTCGTCTTGATCTAGCAACTTCCATTCCCAAAAAATACCGCATTGATCCCAAGTCCTTTACTTCAAATACAACGACACGACTTGTTTTTAGTCTTTCCATTTCTACTCTGTTGTCTCCTGTCAGAATGATATCATCAACGTATACGATTAGAATAGTTTTAGTACCATCTACAAATTGTCGCAGGAACATCGTGTGATCTGACTGTCCTTGGCGATATTCTTGATTTTTCAACACTTTTGCAAATCTATCGAACCATGCTCTTAGTGACTGTTTGAGTCCATATAATGATTTTTTTAGCTTGCATACTAGACCTTTTTCCTCCTCCTTACAAAAGCTTGGCGGTAATGTCATAAACACTTCTTCCTCCAATTCCCCATTCAAGAATGCATTTTTAATATCAAGTTGTTAAAGTGGCCAGTCCAAATTTGCTGCTATTGATAGGACTCGAACTGTATTCAACTTTGTTACTGGTGCAAATGTCTCTGTGTAGTCAATACCATAGGTTTGAGTATATCCTTTTGCAACCAATCGAGCTTTATACCGATCTATTGTTCCATCTGCTGTGTATTTAAAGCTGAAAATCCATTTACATCCCACGGGTTTCTTTCCTTGTGGCAACTCCATCACTTCCCAAGTTTCATTTTTCTCCAATTCACGCATTTCTTCCAAAATTACCTCTTTCCATTCTGGAATTTCCAATGCCTCCTGAATATTCCTCGGAATAATTGTATTGTCAAGGCGGGCTGTAAAAGTACGAAATTCTGAAGATAGAGCAGTATATGACATGAATTTTGAGATAGGGTGTTGAGTGCATAATCGTGGTTATTTTTTTAGGGCAATAGGTAAGTCGGTATCAGATATCTCTGATACTTTCTGAGGTGGAGCTACGATCGGTTCTAATTCTTTTGGTGCTTCAGTCGTGAGATTCTTTATGTACTTTGATCTTGGCTTTCGTAAGTAAACTAATATCTCTTTATCCTTTTGTTTTTCTACATCTCCCCCTGTATTCAAATTTTCCTTTGTTAATGGCATATTAGCATCGGATGGCGGGAGAGATAGAGCAGTTCAGGAAAGGAGAGACTGTCCTTTTGTTTTTCTACGTCTCCCCTGTATTCAAGTTTTCCTTTGTTAATAGCATATTAGCATCGGATGGAGGGATAGATAGAGTAGGTTCAGGAGAGGAAAGACTGAAATCAAAGAACCGATCTTCTGTTAAGATCTCCCCCTGAAGAGAGGTTTTTTCAAAGTACGGTTTATTTTCGAAGAAAGTAACATCAAAACTTACAAATGTTCGTTGTGTGGAGGGATCAGAAGTTGGAAAAAAATTTCGAAATTTTTGGATGGGAGTTTCGAAATTTAGGGCTCGACTAGGCATTCGGTTGATGAGGTAAATGGATGTAAGGACAGCATCCTCCCAGAATATTTTAAGCCTGTTTGTAGTGAACATTAGGGCATGGGCGACTTCTAATATATGTCTATTTTTTCGTTCAACAATCCCATTTTGTTGGGGAGTATCAACGCATGAACTTTGATGAACTATGTCATGTGTTTTGAGATAGTCGCCTAAGATGTTATTGAAATACTTTGTGCCATTATCAGTGTGTAAGATTTGGATTTGGGTTTGGAACTGCGTTTGATTCATAGAGTGGAAGTTGACAAACACGCCCCAAACTTCAGATTTATCTTTTAGTAGGTACATCCAACAAATTCGAGTATGATCGTTAATGAATGTAACAAACCATTTAGAGTGAATACGATTTGGAATCCGTGAGGGACTATGAATCATGGAGAATGGCTTTGATGGTTTGTATACGGATTTTGGAAATGGTGTACGCTGATGCTTTGCAAGTTCACAAATTTCACATTGAAGATCAACTGTCTTTTTATTTTAAAAAATGGAAGGTAGTACACGTTTTAGGTATTGAAAGTTGGGGTGTCCCATTCTAAAATGCCATAACATAATTTTGCTATTTCTAAGGACAGACGCAGAATTACAAATTTTAATTTGACACTGTTTACCCACTTCTGCCTTGTCAAAGTAATAGAGTCCTTCACTTTCCTTAGCACTGCTAATCGTCTTCCCCGATGGTAAGTCTTGAAAAACACAGTAAAACGGGAAAAATTTAGCAGAACAATTTGAGGATTTTGTTAACTGACTTATAGATAGTAAATTGCAAGATAAATTGGGAACATGAAGAGCAGATTCCAATGTTATAGAATCAGAGATTTGAATAGTCCCTTTTCTTGCTATGGTGGATAGAGATCCATCTGCAATTTTAACCTTGAGATTACCAGCACATAGAGAGTAAGATGAGAATAAATGGTAGGAGTCTGTCATGTGGTCCGAGGTTCCTGAGTCAATGATCCAGGGTGTTTTTGATTGAGTGACAAATTTTAAAGCTCTAAAAAAGTTACCTTTGTCCGCTAGTGAACTTGACGGGTTATTGATTTGACTTGATGATTGTAGGCTAGAAAACATTTTGTAGAGCTGTTCCATCTGCTCTGCATTAAATGCACCACTTGATTCCTTGGATTTTCCTCCCTGATGGTCAATTGATGCTTGATTTCCAAGGTATTTATTACTTTGTCTTGGCTTCCAGTTGGCTGGTTTTCCATGCAAATCCCAACAAAAAACATGCTAAATACCACAACATTTACCACAGACACCACCAAATGAATAATCAGCAATCGCAACCTCCAGCGATGGCAGAGACACCTTCAATTGACCACCATATTTCAACCAAAACAGAAAAGTGGAGGAAGGCGTTTACTAAAGAAGACGGAATATGGGGAAGAAAAGAATAAAAAAATCGACGGAAGAATGTGGAGTAGAGGTAAATAATAAACCCTAGAAACTAGGCTTTGATACCATGTAAAAGTTTATGGAAGAAAATATATTTTTCCTTGTTCACATAGAAGAAGACAATATATATATATATATATACAATGTTAGAGATCTATATTAGGAAACTATATAAATTAGAAATCTCTATAATTAACCTATAATTAAGCCCATAACATTATGCAAAGAAATATGTCATCTTTTTGCACATGAGTTACACCTGATCAATGCAGAAAAGCAGTGGATATGAGCTAGCACAACAATAGTAAAAAAAAAAAAAAATTAAAAAGGGACATCGAAATGCATTTTACTTTCTTCGATGATAGAGCTAATAAATATTTCAACTCAATCATGGACAACAGAGTAAGTTCCCTCAATAAAACAAGAATATTAGTGTAAAGAAAAATGCACAAGCAATATGTAGTCAAGGAGACCTTGTCTAAATCAACATTTGAAAGCAAGAAGAATACTTCAAAAAATTGTTCAAGTGTATAGACGAAAGATGACACACATAGGAGTGCGATTGCCCCATTGCAGTCTCTATATCTTACAACTAATAGACATGGTCACATGACCACAATGGTGTACAGATCTTGGCGAAAAAATTCCAAGCATCAGCTTAAAGTGAAAAGAAGCATATATAAAGATGATTATTCATAGCATATAAACAATATACTGGCGGAGAATGATAGATTCCCCAGGTGGATATATCTACATTATAAATATTCCCAGACAAAGTCCTGGGTATCTTTTTTTGGCTAGCATAGAATTATGTCCAACCCTTGAGTTTACCTATGACCAGGTGAATATGACCAAGCTACCAAATATCCATTCAACTTAAGACAGGCAATTAATAGTTCTAGAATTTACAATCTGAACTCTGATAGGACTCCAAATGGAAAAAAGAAAACTGAATGTGAAATAGATGATTGAATGACCTGAAATGCAGAAATTACAGATATGAAAATGATTGGACCCCGGGGGTATTGATAAGCCTCCAAATACGATTCACATATTCTAGAAGAATCAAGAGGAGGGGATAGCAGTAGGCGGGAAAGAGAAATAGAATTCTGTTAAGGAGCAAATGGCTAGGGAAAGCAGTTAGGAATTGGCTATAAATAAGAATGAAAGGAGACTTAGTAGGCAGGCAAATATTGAGTGAGGAAAGGAGTCCTATCAAACTCATTAATAAGATTCCAATCAATCATATAGGAATGCTGTTCAACAAGATAATGAAACAAGAATATTCACAATTACCTGAAAGAATTTTGCCCTATGTTTTGACATGAAAATAGAGGGCTCCAATGGAGCATAAAGCTTATCATAGAAGTTTGGATATTCAAGACCGTGTTTTGTCATGAGAACATATAAGCTGCTTAGAGCCATAACACTCACAACACCACCAATATTATATGATCAAGTTAAGAAATCACTGCAAATTAGAGATTAAGAACAACAAATTAAATAGCTGTCAAAGTGTGAAAGACTGAGTAATCAACAAAATATGAATAAATTACAAAATTGCTACATAATTTACCATAACATGATTGGCTTAGAGAGGTGAGGAATGATACTCTGATGAAGTGTAACAAGAACCTGATCATCAGAGGGTATGTGAAGAAAGAGAAAAATCATAAGAGTAGTAGATTAACTAGAACTCAAACACAACAAAGAGCATGCTTGGGAATGCTTAAATTAAAATTTAAGTTACTATAAGTTGTGATCCTACAGAATGTGTGGATAATAAGTGAGTAGTAGTTGAGAGTCCTAGGGAATGTGTAATAAAAAGTAAGTCTAACCAGCTTAAATTATAATTTGAGCTTTGCCAAAACATGCACAAAATTAAGCCTCATTCCAATTAATTTGGGGTCAGCTTCATAAAAAAAATTCCACAATTAGAACTCAAATATAATTTTTTTAAAATAAAAAGGCAAGAAGTGAAAGTCAGCTCGTTACTTTCAGATCAAACTATTAGCATTTGATGAGCATACTGAGAATTCTGTGGTGTATATGTCCTTTGTGATTTTTTTATTTTTTTTATTTTTTTAACGATTTACAAAGATAAGAACAAATTCAAGCAGTAGGCAGCGAATAAAGACATAGCAAGTTTACTGAGATAAGATAAAAGACAATCAAGAAGCTATAAGAAAATTATAGAAAATATTTGGTAAGATCTATAGCATTAAGCATAGTCTTGAGAGTGATCTATCAAATCTGAGTGAAAACCTCAATTGTTAAAAGACAATTACAAAATATTGAGATACTGTTATGATCCTCCAGAGAGTAATATCTCCAAAACAAAATTCTGTATGATCTTACTCAAGTGACTTGTCAATATCCTCTATCAAGTGGCCCCTTCTCTTCAATGCAATAATTCAGTAGATTTACAAAATATCTCCTGAGCATTTCCACAAGTAACACACTTTATCAACATATTTCATGTGACACACAAGCACCACTCACTTATCACCACTCATTTGTATCTGCTTATAAAAGCACTTAATAATTATTGTCAACAACAAAAATTACTGCAGAAATCCGAAGGAAACCATCCACTGTCTTCTACTGCTAGTAGCATGGTGTAATTATCGTTCTTGACTACTAAAGATATCACGATATAGTTAATTCTTGCAAACTAAAATTTTCATGTGACCAAACACCACCAACGATAATCATGCAAGCCCATTGGTTAAAACTTAGGTGGATGAAGTTGCATTCACCACAACGTTTTCTTCCTTGATTCAAATACAAGAAACAGAGTGTGTTACATACAATTTGTACTAAATGATGATGAAAAATAATCTAAGAGACAATGAAATGTGAGATTTAGCATCAAGTAGTGTAACGCCCCAATTTTTCATTAATCATAAACACGGGAACGTTACAAAAAACTCACTTTTCTTTATTTATAAATGCGGAACTATATAAAAATAAAATTCTTCAATAAACAAATAACTGAAACATTTAAATTTAAATAATTGAAAGCATATCTAACCATAAACATAAACTCCTAAATAATTCAAATAATACGTTCTAAATAAAATTAAACAAATTGCTAAATTTAAAACAGTAAACTTATTTCTTTTTCTCTATTCTTTATTCACTTGGCAGCCCGCATCATCAATTCTCCACTGCTCCAATCGACCCGAACTAATCTGTAAAATTAATGTAAGAGTGAGTATTTTAAAAATACCCAGTAAGATACGTGCAAATTTCCATACACAGATATATAACAAATAAATAATACACTTCATACCACTCTTCTCTTATAGAGTATATCGGTGACCAAGCGACACACCCATCTTAGGTCCTCTTAATTTATATGTAGAAATTTCATATCTCTTTCTCTAAAACTCAAAGGTCCACTAGCATTCCATGCATATTTAATCGCATATAAGAATATAAGGAAACGTAAACACTTTGCACATAAATGTATCTTATCTTGATATTAAAATTCCAAAAATATGAATGCGTGTTCCAAATTTCTGAATTTCTTGACTACGTCAATAAAATTATCTTGCTTTCTTTTCAAAATATTTTACCTCTCTCTACTGCGTGTGTATAATTTCTAGGATGTATTCTGATCTTTCTTTCTCTCTCCCAATGGTTTTTTTTTCTGTCGGGCAGCGTGCCTCTAATTTCTTTCTCTCTCTCTCTGATTATCTCTCTCTATTTGTGTGGTCCATCCCCCTGGGCACACTAGGTATTTATAGTACTGGATTTTTGAAAATGTGGGACACTGCACCATTAAATTTTATCTTATTCAACCAAAAAAATTTATTGGGTATGTACAATACACCTTTGTTTTTATCCAAATCACGTGATAGAGGTTCCATCAACAAAGTGATATGATTTATATAGGACAAAACAGTACATACTATTAATGAGGTGGAAGAGTCTTGAGAAAGGAATTACAATAGCTATTTATTTCAACTCACAAAATCTGGTCTAGGATTTGGTGAATTATTTACTTACGAAAGTTTGATGCTAAAATTCTAATTGAATAATGGATACAGGGGTTTAAGATATATTATATTGGATTAGCACTAACAATTAGCATTTATCCTAATCAAATTAGGATTATGATTAACAATCAAAATTTATCATAGCCTGTGCTCGGGATTATTATTATTATACACGTGCAGTCATGATTATCTTAAAACTAAAATCATAAATCAACTTCAATTATTCATCCAATCTAGCATCTTGAACATAAATATCTATGTGTTATTCAAGCTTACTATAATAGAGTACGGTGGACAAGATTTCTAGTACCAAAGCAAATATTAAAATTATTTGACTACTATTATCTGCCCTTTTTTTTCTCCAAAAGAAAAATATTATTAAAATAAAATCACCCTTTTTCTACAATTTCTTCACGTGGAAATCTAGCTACCTTTATCAACTCCCAAATCAAAACAAATAAATTAATTATTAAAATAATACACTCAATCACCATACACGTGGCAGCTTCATGATATAAACTAATCAAATAAAATACTATAAAATACCAATTTCCAAAATACTATATAATATTTATATACTTATACTCACTCTATCAAAATTCACATATTTGACCCGTAAGAATATATTTTGACTTAGTCCCTCGACTTTCGAAATAATATAGATAATAAATAAATTTTTATTCAAAAATTTTGGGATGTTACAAGTAGAAAATCAAAAATATTACCTGAATCATTCCACATTTCATAGTCCGAATAATCAATTGAAGCTTCTATAGCGGGGATATGAGATAGCAAACTATGCATCTTGTGAATAGAAAGCTCCACGCTACAAAAAACGGTGTAAGTATCAGACACGCTATACAAAAGCTTCAATTTACTTTTCAAAATGAATAAGAAATAATAAAGAAGGAAGGTCCTTGCAACACATATGTTTCTTATTCATTTTGAAAAGTAAATACTTGAATAATTGAGAAAAAAACATAACTACATTATTTGTAGACCTTCCTTCTCTATTGTGATTGAAGTTTTTCAAATTGAAATAAAAGGAATCCATTACTAAAGCTCCAATACTTTGACTATAAAAACATGAAAGGAATCCCGCGTCGGATTTTTTTATGTAAAAAATGTGCTGAAAGATAAGTCTATTAAAGGACTTATCATCAAGTAAATAATGGGCTTTATATATTTGGCTGGGCCATTAAGTTGATTTGTAGTCTTTTCATTTTTACACATTAGTGCAACTTTAATATTTTCAGTTTTATTTATTATAATATAAATTAATATAACAATTTAACTCCTATTTTGAGTCCCATTATGTAAAAATTCAATTTTCCCCAAACTCATTTTCAACCACACATTCTCCTAATAAAATAATTTTGAACGTAAACCCAAAACTTCTTTTGTACGTAAATCCAAAACTTTCCTATTTTTTAACAACACAATTTACAACAACAACAACAACAACAACAACAACAACAATAATAATAATAATAATAATAAATAACTATTAGAAAATCTATTTTCCTCAAAAAAAATGGGACTCAAACATAGCTTTAATATTCAAATACCTAATTTAATTTATAGGGAAAAAAATACAAATGAGATAGTAAAATCCCCAGCAGGGTAGTGCAGGGGGCACGCCAAACCACCCTGTTGACAGGGGTCGACCTGGGGGGTCCTATAGTTGACCCCCCAGTTTCTGCTTTTTTTCTGACTTTTTTTTTTGTTTTAGAATGTCAAAGTTTAAAACTTACACTATAAATATATTATGCAGCTAACAGCTCCAATCTCAACTTTGTGCCTTTGTCTTTCTCTTCCAATCTGTCAATTACATACTGCCATTACCATTTACAATTTACCTACCATTTGAAAGTTTGATTATGACCCCCTAACCTAAAGTATTCGGGTCTGCCCCTGCCTGTTGCCATCCCTATCCGTGAAGTAAATTCACAATGAACTTCATTGCTTCAATCTAGAAGTAGCAGCACTCTGATATAATAGAAGCCGAGTATTCTCAACAACCAAGGTGATTTGAAGTGCATGAACAATGTAAACATACATATACACTTATCAAAATCTTAAATACTCCCTCGAATCCACCACACCCCAGGAAAAGCAAAACAATACAAATGCACCACAATACTATCTGGAAGAGAAAGAAAGTTCAACCTCAAGAATGCTAAGTCACTTCTATGCTAAAAGAATGGCTCATTCTTCCAGGCAAACATACTGAGTTTACACAATAGCAACTTTAAGAATGTGAAGAGCAGATTTTTCAGCATTGAGGGACAAGGCAGAATGTTTGATATCAGGAGTCATTTATTGGTGGGTATTAGATCTTGGGGTATTTGTGTGTGTCCATGTAGTAAGACTTAGAAACAACTAGAGGCATCATTTTGGTCTGCAGCTCTAATTCTCAAAATAAAAATGGTGAAGCAGTGGGTCCAAAGAAATAGGTCAACACTGGGTCTCCCAATTGACTTGGGAGCTATTGCAATCACATCAATTTATTTTTCCAAAAACATTATCAATAATAAAATGCCAAATTGAAAGGTCAAATGTGTCCATGACCCAAACTATACTAACCTTGTTCTCGACTGGCTATCACCATAGATGTCTGAATTTCTCTCGCCTTCTCTGGGGAAAATAAATTTTTAGGTCGAAAAGATATATAACTATATGTACTTCCAATAAAGGAGAGGAGGTCTTTGTGTATTTTCTTAGGTAAAAAGATCACCACCAAGATCAAGAAGTAGGACTAGGAGAGATACCTTTTGCCTCCAAAATTCGGACCAGCTTGTCCAGGTCCAGGATAATGTAAGTAAAATACTGAACAAATAAGTTGAACCAACGTATTGTTTCTTAGAGACTACAGTAGTTCAAAGAATATTTGTCCCACCGTGGAACAAATATTTCTATTGGAAGGGAAACAATAAAAGGTAACATTTCTTGGAACAGTATGTAGCTCATCCCAGTCTAGCAATCTGTTTTGGTAATATCTTAGCAACGCAAATCCAAAAAGAAGTGTGAAGTGATTCATTCACATTATAAATAGAATCTATAGGAAACATATTGACAGTACAGTGTAAACAAACTTAGTTAACACACGCTTAAGAATAAATGATTCATACCGGACATAAATGTAATTGAAATACTTTAATGCAAGCAAATCCAATAAAGAATCGTCAATGGTCAACGTAAAGTGGACCTGCAAGCACATGTAGTTTAGAAATAATCTGACCTAATGCACGAAATGTCTTATTTTTACTTTAATAACCCAATTATTAGTACACCATAAGCTTTATTCATGATTTAGATGATCCAACTGTACATTTATTTAAACGTCCAATTATTAGTTAATGATAAGCTTTATTCATGACATACATGATTCAAGTGTACGTCTATTTTAATGTCCAATAATTTAAAATCTTTGCACCAGGTCAAATTAATTTCAGTATACCTCTCCCTTTTATAATGTATATCGGTTCACATCACTCTTCTAACTTGGATGTCTTTACAAGACATACCACAACCATACAAATCTTTTAAACCTTAACTTAGCATTAACTTCAATTGATCAATCCTAGTATAATCTCAAGTCTATCTTATCATTATTTCATGCAGCTCCTTCTTTTTGTTTTGGGCGTGAAGTGATGTCAAGTTGAAATGCCCAACAGGCATAAACTCTCCCTGAAAAAGAGGTGAGCTACAACCTTGTCCTAAAAACTTCACTTGGTGATCAAAACTTAATACCACAAAGCATAATTATCTAGGTATAAAACTTGGCTATTATGAGCCATTTAATAATATAGACAAAAACTATCCAATTACATTAATCATAGACAAAAAGAGAATAAATTTTATCTCCCATCACTTGGTTTTCCAGAATAGAAAAGGGGAAAATTTGAAGAAATCCAATTAGAAATGCTGCTACATGAAATAAATTGATAAAATAGAATCAAACTATCTGAAAAAAATGGTTATGAACTTAATTATACACCATCAGCTTCACTCGTTATAACCTGTAAATAGTAATTCAACACACAATAATACTATTTAAAATAGCGAGCGGCCAAATATTTTGTCAACTAAAGAGCAAGAAGAAGCCTAGATCCACTGAGAGAAATTACCAACTCTTAGAGGTATGCACTCGTGGAAATCATATCTAATAGGTGTTTATAATCAACATAATTCATCAATGTCTTATCCCATATTTACCTAGGATCAACTACAAGTATGAAAGATTCAACAGTGAAATGATAAAGGCTCTGATTAAGTTTATGTTCAACTCTCGCTCAATTCATGTCATTCTCCCTACAAAAAAAAGCAGTCCTTATGCAGAACAGCTTGGCAGTGGCACTAAGCAGGCTTCAGTGTCACCAATCTCGACACAAAATAAAATTAGCAATAGGCAGGATAAATTTAGAAGTTACTACTCACAATGGAATGAAGAAGCTTGTGATATAAGGCAGAATGAAACTTTCCCCTACCACCCACTTTGATAAACTCCGTTATTGTCTCCAGAACAGCTTCATCATGATTACAATTTAGCCGTGAGAACCCGAAGATGGAACACATGGAAGGCATACGGAAATAATAGTAAGGAAACAATAGAAAATTTGAAGAGAACAAAAACATATATTAATCTCATACACGAAGAGCATCCTCGGATTGGAATGAAATAGCGACGTCAATGAAGAATTGAACGAGGTCATCGCACTTGAAGCGAAGCCACGTGCGCTACATGAATTCTGGGTCCGATTGGAGTATTGGACAAAGAAATAATTGAAAATGAACCAATAAGCCACGTGTATTTTCAAAATAACCTTTGATCAGTTTTTAAAGAAAAAACAAAAATTGATTTTAAAGGTTAAAATTTCAAAATACCCTCAGACAGTCACTTTTTCATTTGCTTATAGTCGGCCAAAATTAAGGAAAAGCTACAATCGATTACCAATCGGCAGACGTTTTAAGTTCATCTTTGACGACCTTTTTCTTGTTAAGGTAAGTTTCGAGTTGTTAATTAACTACATTAATGTTTAGATTTTTATATTGTGTGTGAATGTTGAATTTGTGAAGGTTTTTGAAATGTATTATTGGTTATGTATGTGTAAAAGTATGAATATGAGTCTAAATTGGAGAATAATAAGTAGATTTTGAGATTTGCAAGCTTTTCTCGTCGAAAATGGAGATTTTCCGACAAGAAAAGTCAAAAAAAATGTCGGCTACGTTTGCAGCTGGCATTTTGGGGAAAACCCGGCAGTTAACACTGTTAACAGCCGGGTTTTCCCCAAAACGTCATGGGCCAGTCAGCCTATGACTGTTTTTGTTTTTTCATGGGCTAACTAATCCATAACTGTTAAGTGGGCCGACTGTTATACTTGGCCCATTATTTGGGTTGACTATTTAGTCAGCCCATTGACTGTTAAGCGTGCCGACTGTTACGATCGGCTTGCTACCTTTTTTTTTTTTATTATTTTTCTTACGAATATTTCAGAATTTCATTTTAAATAATTTTAATTATTAGTTTTTAATAAATAATAATTTATCTGTTTGTCAAATTTAAATAAAATATTAAATTTTAATTTTAATTTGAATATTTTTTTATTTCCTCATTTTTGATAAATAATAATTTTTCATTCTCGAATTTAATTAATTTTTAAAATTGTAATATTTAATAATTCTTTTAATTTTAAATTTAAATTTCATATTTAGTTTTATTAATAGTTTTTTATAAATAATATTCTTTTCGTTAATCGAATTTCATTAATTCTTGTCATTGTAATTTTGAATAATTATTTAATTTTAAATTTCTTTTTTATTTTTATTAATAGTTTTTTATAATTGTTTTTTTATAAATAATATTCTTTTCCTTTATCGAATATAACTAATTTTTGTAATTGTAATTTTTAATAAGTATTTGATTTCAAATTTAAATTTCATATTTAATTTTATTAATTATTTTTTTATAAATAATATTCTTTTCGTTCATCGAATTTAATTAATTTTTGTAATTGTAATTTTTAATAAATATTTAATTTTAAATTTAAATTTCGTATTTATTTTTATTGATATTTTTTGATAAATAATATTCTTTTCGTTCATCGAATTTAATTAATTTTTTTAATTGTAATTTTAAATAATTCTTTAAATTTTAATGTTAATTTTAATACTTATTATCTTTTTTTGATATCAGGGAAAAATTGACATTATTGATAATAGGGTAAAACATTTCACAATATTAATGATTTTAATTACTATGAATCTGCGTGTTGCGTATTGTAGTTACAATTTCGTTCGTTTATATTGTACGTAATTTAAAATTTGATTACATGATCATTAACTAATTCAAATGTCAATATGTCAGCTTGAAATTATAACTGAGTTGACGCCGTCGATGGAGGAGGAGGCTCAGGGTTGTGTGCGTGAATCCGGCATTCCGCTCACCCAAGACGACCAGATGTCCAATTCAATCGACGATCGAGATTGGGTGAGTGAATTGAATATAATTTATTAATTACCATTTTGTAGGAGTTAGTAATTACGAATCAAGTTAATAATTCGTAATATTATTGTTTGTGTAGGAGTGTGGTCCAGTTGATCTACGACCTCCGCCCCCGAGGGCATCGCCTCCATCCCAGAGGGCATCACCTTCGCCGCAAAGGGCATCACCTTCGCCCCAGAGGACATCACCTCCTGCAACCCTGTCCAGGGACCTCCCCCGTGGATCTCCCGCACATATTCAGAGTTTTGATGATTTGTATGCCCGTTTGAGGGGATTTATAGCAGAGCAGGTTAATAGGTTGCGTCGAGAGATGACAGATAGGGTCGACGATCTGGTAGGAAGGGTCTAAGATTTGTCCGCTGATGTTAGAGTGCTTCAGGATGAGATCGAAGCACTTCGAGGTGATATAGCCGGCAGGCGATAGGTTGACAGCGATGGTGACGGGGGGGTGACGGAGATGGTGATAGAGATGAGGGTCATCGGCAGTTGTGGTCCGATGATGCATTGGAATCTTTTCTATTATCCATGGAGCGGGAGGGGATGGGATGAATGGTAGAGGAGGTGGCGAGCCCCGAGGTGGATGAGGTGGCGGTAGCTGGGGGTGGAGGAGGTGACGATAGCCGGAGCAGAAAAGGGGGCAAGCCCCTAAATGGAGGAGGTGGCAAGCACCGAGGTGGAGGAGGTGACGATAGCTGGGTGGAGGAGGTGACGGTGGTCGAGGCGGAGGAGGAGAGAATGGCCATCGTGACTTAGGCAAACAAGCGTTCTGTTGACGTACCGGAGATGGTGGTCGGCAAGAGGTCGAGAGTGTCGTCACAGTACATCGTCTCTCCCTTCACCACTGAGACGAAGAGGAGGAGGTTCGTCGACGGGACGTACTCCAATATGTTCCGGGAGGTTGACCATGCCAAATGGAAAGCATTCGAGGCTCAGTGGTGAGCAATGTTGCCTGAGTAAGTATTGTATGATTTAGTAGAGTACCAATACTCGTATAAGTTTCGTTTAACATTTTCTTTTCTTTTTTCAGCACCACTCGTACGATAGCCAGAAGAACGATATCGAACGCATACAAGTGGTTCCATAATATCACCACTCAGGGGGCTTAGCTCGCCGAAAATGTAAGTGAAGTGTTATTGCTACTGTTTGTACACATTACGTTTAATTTGTTAAATGAAATAGTTATTTATTTCTTTTTCGTTTATGTAGCACATCGACATGGCCATGGACTTGTTGTGCGATCGAGTTGAGAGATATCCACAATCATTCTACAAGCCTGGCCGAATAATACTGAACACCGAGTTCTTCCGTGCCGTTACCATTGAGTATCAGTCGCTCAAGCTTATGGGTAACGAGTACGTGCTGCCCGCAGATATGCTCGAGTGGGTCATCGGGTTGTCACCGACTGTTGGGGAAAAGCCGTGGAGGGCTGTACGCATACGTACATTCCAGTGATCATCAATCGTCACTGCAATGCACTAAAGATTGTGTTCCCTGAGTCGAAAATATATGTATATGACCCCGATCATTCATGTCTGACGCAGGGGCAAATCGAGCAGGACTTAGAGCCGGTGACTGTGATCGTTCCTATGATGGCTAGACGGGCGAGCTTGACTATACAGGACAGACTAGCCATCATTCGGGATAAGACGACGGCTAGGCAGTCTATATCGTAAGTGTTTGTAATCTTTTTTTAAAATTAAATTTGAACCAAGCTAACACAATATTGTTCATTTGTAGGGTCGACTATGACATTTTCGTAATCAAGTACATAGAATTTTTGAGTATAGCACATAAGGTTGATGGATTCAACCAGTTATGGATACAGAATTGGCGGAATAAGTTAGCGTGCGACTTATTCGAATTTAATTGTGATCCAAAGATTATTTGTAAATATTTTTTTTGTAATTAATCTTTGTAAAACTTTTTTGTAATTAGTTATTTGTAACTGTTCTTCGTAATTATTTATGATCTTGAATAAACATTGAACAATGTAAAAGTAAATGAAAATATTACACATTGAACACATTAGTCTAATTGTCATTTAGGGAAATTTGACTAGTACAAAATTGGCGAGTATGCCCTATGACTCTGCACCTGCCGCACCTACGCGGTCGAGGAAACTCTCCGATAGATGGTATTCTAGATGTACTTAACGTCTAGGACCACGCAGTTCAACTGCTGGTGGCAACAAACTATTGAACAGGAGAGTATGGTCAGGACTTCCCACTCAGATTCATTCGGCAGTGGAAATATAGTCTCAGCATATGCTGCTCTCCACGACTTAGCCGTGTAGTACAAATAACTAATGTTCTCGCTGCAAAGTCTCGATACATGGCCACTGCGACTGCATGCTAACATGAAAAACTCTCCAACTGAAATCTTGTACAAGTGCATGTGTTATCAGTCAAATCAACTATGTATGTCATATTACGTGCACATTGCACGGAGAAGCGAAACTCATCAAATGCTTCCACATTCAACTTTCTCGCAACATCCGCAGCCTTGAAGCATTTATTCTCTTGAGCTGGGGTTAGCACACTGGTGCAATTCTGTGATGCCGCACGTCGGTTATGAAACCACTGTTGCAGCTTGTTACAAATATTCTCAATCATTACGAGAATTGGTAACTCTCGATCCTTCTTAAACAATGCATTGAGAGACTCTGCATTATTCGACATCATCATGTTGTATCGACATCCTGAAAAGTATAATTGCGCCCAATATCCAATCCCCATGTTCGTTAGATACTCCCACGCCGCTAATGATTTATTTCCTATCTCGACCATGAACTGATTACATTCTTCAACACTGTAAGCTTCGGTTGCTCTTCTGAACAATGAAACAATGCCTTTACCCTGATACATAGTCTTCAAATTGCCTTGTATATGGTACATGCAATACCCATGATGTGCCTCGGGAAAAACTTCAGCGATACCATTTATTATAGACTGTCCCCGATCAGTTACAAAGGGAAGGTCTTCAACTTCTCCAATCACTTCCCTCAGTTTAGAAAAGAACCAACGCATTGACAGATCATTCTCGTTGTCGACTATGCCAAATGCAAGAGGGTAAATTTGGATATTGGCGTCTTGACATGTAGCAATAATCAACTTGCCTTGATATCTAACTTTCAGAGTTGTATCATCGACTAGAATTGCAGGTCGCATTGCATTTCGAAAATCCCGAATACATTGTCTGAGAGCCATGAAGAAATACTTAAAACAATCACCACCCCCGTCTCAATAAAAAAT